TGGGCAGACCTGGACTGGTATGATCGCACCTATGAAGGTCATGGTCGCATGTGCGAGGCTGCATGTGCGTGGATAGCATCGCAAAAGCGGATTTGGATGAGCTGGGGGAGTTGCACAGGTGCGAGAGTAATTCCACACCTGGGAGACCGCAGATGCGAAGAAGGGCGCACAGGTGCGAAGTAGGCGTGTGGCTGCAAACTTCACAGATGCGGAGAGGGGGGTCGCTGGTGCAGCTCCGCAGATTCGGAGCCTTGTCCGAATGCGTAGGAGGTCACTAGGAGAACCGCGAAAGCGGAGGATTTGTCGCTTCCGCGACACCACAGATGCGGGTAAGTTGGTCGCAGGTTTGAAAAGCGCTGGGCATAATATAAACGTAGGGTTCCGAGGTTTTTATCATTTTTGGACTTTGCAAACTCGGATGAAGGCAATGTTTGAGAGGGATTTCGAGGGGTTTCTTAAGGTAAGACATTCTTGATTATTTTTATGCAATAATATTTATTACCAATTGAATTTCCCACCTAGTTTATATGTTTTTGAGTTGGAATTTTGGGAGTTTTAGGCTAGGGATTGGAAAATGTAATTTGGGGATTTGAGTGACGATTTGCTGTTGGAATTTGATAAATTTGGTATGGTTGGACTCGTGGTTGAATGGGTGTTCTGATTTTATAACTTTTGTCTGATTCCGAGATGTGGGATCGGGAGTTGACTTTTGAGTTGACTTTTTGACCTTTCATTAAGAACTTAACATTTTCATATGGAATTGATTCATATAGCTCGTGTTGATTGTATCGAATTGTTTGTGGCTAGATTCGAGGCGTTCAGAGGCCGATTCGCGAGGCAAGAGCTTATTAGAGTAGAAATTTGCACGAATTGAGGTAAGTAACACTCCTAAACTTAGTTATGGGAGTATGATCCCTGAACTTCGTGTTATGTGATCAGTGTTGAGGTGACACACATGCCGGGTGACGGGCGTGTGGGCTTGCACCATAGTAATTATGACTTTGTCAATTTCATGGGACTGTGTAGTCATCTTATCTGAATATCATTAATGTAATCTATGTGGTAGAGCATTTGAGCTGTGATTTATGTTAGAAATCATGTTTAGGCTCTGTGTCGGTGAAATTGGGACCCACAATGGTCGTTCTTTGCTATTGAGTTATTTGCTTAATTGCAGTTATATACTCAATCGCATTCATCATTGTATATCGTATCTCAGTCTCTATTATCATACATTGTCACATCATGTATCATTGATTTGGGCTGCTTATCATGAGTTTTGTGAGGCCGAGAGACTGGAGAGATTGATGACTAAGTGACGCCGAGGGCCTGTTTGTGAGGGATATTGATAGGATTGGACTGCACACTGCAACGGGTACTATTGACTCATGATGGGATCGGGATGCATGCCGCAGCAGGTATTATTGATTCACGATGGGATCGGGTTGCACGCCGCAACAAGATTTATTAGCGCTTGGGCTGGATCTGTTCCTCCGGAGTCTGCACACCCATAGTGAGCGCAGTTGCTATTGATTCATGATGGGATCAGGTGCACGCCGCATCGGGTACCGTATAATGTTGAGTGATTAAGTGTGATGAGTGAGAATTGAGACATGTCAGGCTGAGCACTCTGAGAATATGCATGCGCGAGGCTTCCATTGTGTTGTATCACATACAATATTCATATTGGCATGTGGATATAGAGATGTCATATTCCTCAAATCATTCAGACTTGACATATTTTATCTATTTTGAGTTTAACTTTTAAACCTGGAAGCATGTCTACATTCCTGTACTGGTACATGCAGATTATGAGTTTCTCTGAGATATTATTGTCTTATGTTCTGTAAATTTCCGTATTGATTCTGTATTTGACCGTATTGTTCGAACTCATCACAACTTTTAGTCCAAAGGTTAGACTTGTTACTTATTAAGTTGGTTGTATTCACGCTACACCCAGCACTTCGTGTGTAGATATAGGTATTTCCGGGCACAGTGGCTGTTGATCTTGGAGTTTCAGCCATTCGGAGATTTTCGAGGTAGCTTCCTTGGCGTCCGTAGTCCTTGACTCTCCTCCCCAATCTCTCAGTTTTACTTATTCTGTTCTACTTTCTTGGACAGTGTATCAGACTATGTTATTGTATAGATGCTCATGTACTCAGTTACACCCGGGTTTTGGGAAATTATGTATTGAGCTATGATGTTTTCATCCAGATTTTATGAGACTTTTAGTTACACAAGCTTATTTTAGTATATTTTAAATTTCAAGATGTTGGTATGTGTGAGCAGGTTTAGTAGAGTCTTGCGGATCAGTACGGAGATGTCTGTACTTATCTTCGAGAGGTTGCAGAACTCTTAGGAAAACTTCACATTCTTGTATTCTTGTCGTGCGAATTTATTGATTCCAAGAACTAAACTTCTGTTATTCTTTTCTCTCACAGATGGTGAGGAAAAGTGCTACCGGATCTGTCGAACAGCCACCAGTACCACCAACTAGGGCCACGCGAGGCCGGGGCGGCGGTAGGGGCCGAAGTGCAGCTCGTACAATAGCTAGAGTAGCACTTGCAGATCTGCCAGTTACTCCAGCTCAGGAGCAGGTTCCAAATGTGGTTGAGCCAGTGGGACCAGCTCAGGCCCCAGCTGTGCCTATTGTGATAGCAGGACTTCAGGAGGTTTGGCCCAGATATTGACTGTTTGCACTAGCCTTGCTCAGTAATCCTCTATTCAGGACGCACCAGCCACTTCTCATGCCAGGAGAAGTACTCAGACTCCCGCTGACGGTACTCCAGAGCAGGTGGTGAAGGGACTCCAGACACCGGGGATATTACCAACCCTGTCGGTTGCAGTTTCTCTGACCTAGGTGGTTCTTGTTATGAGTGATGAGGAGAAAAAGAGACTAGGGAGATTTGGGAGGTTCAGGCCTCCATCATTCAGTGGGGCTGAGTTAGAGAATGCTCATGACTTCTTGGATAGGTGCTAGCAGATTCTTCACACGATAGGTATTCTAAAGACCAGTGGGGTCGCCTTTACTTCTTTTTAGCTATCGAGGGATGCCTTCAGATGGTGGGAGGCTTATGAGAGGAGCAATCCAGTCGGTGCAGCACCACTTTTATGGCACGAATTCTCCATTCTCTTTTTGGAGAAGTTTGTGCCACCGACCCGCATAGAGGAGTTGCGTAGATAGTCTGAGCAGCTACACCAGTAGGGCATGTCTGTGACTCAATACAAGATGAGATTTTCTGAGTTGGCCCATCACGCTATATGGTTGGTTCCCACAGAGAGGGAGAAGATTAGGAGATTCATTAATATCCTCAGTTATCAGTTGCATTTTGTTATGACTCGGGAGAATGCATCAGGTGCTAAGTTCGATGATGTGGTTGATATTGCTCGATGGCTAGAGTTGGTCCGTAGTCAGGAGTGTGAGGAGGGGGAGGCCAAGAGGCCTCGTGGTTTGGGTGGTTTCAGTGGTGTTCCTTCTGGGGGCAGTCCTACCACAAAGGCGGTCGTCCTTATAGGCCCGCTCAGATGGCTCGTCAGGTTCATTGGGGTGCATCAGTTAGTCATGGGTCGTACAGTGCTCGCCCGGGGCAGTCACCTCTCAGTGCACTCCAAGCTCATAATTCATCTCCTGCTCCGTTAGTTCAAGGTTCGTCTGCACCAGGTTCCTCTGGTAGTTATTCTGGTTCTCGGAGTCCGCTTTGGTACATGTCGTCATTGTTAGAGCGAGGTTGTTTTTAGTGTGGAGAGTTTGGTCATGTGAAGAGGCATTGTCCCCGCCTATCGGGAGGTCCAGTTCAGCAAAGGAGTCAAGCTGCGTCTTCCGCACCAGTTACATCACCACCCGCTCAGCCAGCTCAGGGTAGGGCTCAGGCAGCCAGAGGTCGCCCTAGAGGGGGAGGTCGAACAAGTGGTGGTCAGGCTCGATTCTATGCTATTCCTTCCAGGCCAAAGGCCGTTGCTCCAGACACAATGATCACATATATTGTCTCAGTATGCCACAAGGATGCTTCTATATTATTTGACCCCGGTTCTACTAATTCGTATGTATCATCATATTTTCCTCATTATCTGGATATGCCCAGTGCATCCTTAGTTTCATCATTTCATGTATCTACGCTAGTGGGCGATACTATTGTTGTGGACTGTGTGTATCGGTCGTGTATAGTGACTATTAGGGGATTGGAGACTAGAGTTGATATCTTATTTCTTAGTATGGTCAATTTCGACGTGATTTTGGGTATGGATTGGTTGTCTCCATGTCATGCTATTATGGATTGTCACGCTAATACCGTGACGTTGGCGATGCCGGGGTTTCCAAGGATCAAGTGGAGAGGTTTTCTAGATTATGTTCCCAGCAGAGTGATTTGATATTTGAAGGCCCAACGGATGGTTGGGAAGGGGTGTCTATCAAATTTGGCCTTTGTGTGAGATGTTGGTGCTGATACCTCTACTATTGATTCTGTTCTGGTAGTGGGAGACTTTCCGGGTGTGTTTCCTGCAAACCTGTTGGGCATGCCACCCGATAGGGATGTTGACTTTGGTATTGACTTGGTGTCAGGAACTCAGCCCTTTTCTATTCCTCCGTACCGTTTGGCACTAGCACAATTGAAGGAGTTGAAAGAACAACACCAGGAGCTTCTTGATAAGGGATTTATTAGGCCTAGTGTGTCTCCTTAGGATACACCGATTTTGTTTGTGAAGAAGAAGGATAGTACTATGCGGATGTGAATCGACTATAGGCAGTTGAACAAAGTTATATATAATTAGTTTTGGAATTCGACCTCCAATTGGGGTCTAAATCCTCAAATTTTCGAAATCTCTAGTTTCTACCCTAACCCCTAATTCTACCATGAAATTCTAGATTTTAGGTTGATAATTCAATAAATGTAATGGGTAATTGAAAGAAAATGGTTTAGAATCACTTACCAACACTTTGGGGAAGAAAATGACTCTTGAAAATCGCCTCTACCCGTTTGGTTCTTGAAAATATTTGCCATTGAATTTTAGAAAGTGACCAGGTGCTCTTCCCTCTTCGGAAAACTCGAGTTGGCTATAACCAAATCAAAAGCTCTAGCAAAATCCAACAATGAATTACCTTCCTCATTCCTATCCCCAAAACCGTACCTGCCATGCACATCATCATAACCCCTAGCACTAGCCCCAATATGACCATTGAAATCTCCACCAATGAACAACTTCTCTGTGTGCGGGATACTACGCACCATCTCGTCCAAGTCCTGCCAGAATTGCTTCTTGACCTCCTGGTCCAAACCTACCTGAGGAGAGTATGCACTAATCATGTTTACAGTAAACCCACCAACTACCAGCTTAATACTCATAAACCTATTATTTATCCTCCTAACCTTAACCACGAGCTCCCTAAGATCCCTGTCTACTAAAATACCTACCCCATTCTTACCCCTAGCGCTCCCTGAGTACCATAGTTTAAACCCGTCTGCATCTCGTGCCCTAATACCCTTCCATCTAGTCTCTTGAACACACGCTATGCTGATCTTTCTCTTCTGAAGAATCTTACCTAACTCTATAGACTTCCCCGTCAACGTCCAAATGTTCCAAGACCCAATTCTCAGCCTAGAGGATTTCTTACCCCCCTTCCCATTCCTGGACCCCACCACCAGCCCCACCCGAGGACATGACCTTACTCTCATATTGTTCACTACCGCCACTATAAGCAAAAGGTATTAGGTAAACACTACCACTAAGAACCAATAACGGGAACGAAGGACTACAAGCTACGAACCCGAGAGCTAAAAACAACTCAAATGAGCGACTACGAGAATAGAAACACGAGCAGGCACTAAAAGAATGAACCTACCACGTCTATGAAACTACCCCTATGCAAATACAGAATTAAAATGAATAGATGAAACCTTAAGCTTAAAACACTTGTAGAAAAGATAGAGAAAGCAATCAATCCAATCAAAATTGCCGACAAGGCAACAGTAAATAGATGTGCGCAAATACAATTCAAGAAAGATGGAACCTGGATCACAGTCGGGGATGTCCGGACGCGCTTCCAAATCCGCTGAATGTTGCTGCTCCCGAACCCGTGAGTCGGAAAGTTTCGGCGATTTGTCAATTTCACCGGAATTTCACCGCAAATAAAAACAGAGTACTGTCACAGTGAAGATGTCCGGATCTTCTTGATGAAACATGAAATAGTGAAAATGCTTACAACTTGTGGACAGTGATATTGAAGCCGGCGCCGGCGAGAAATCTGCCGCCGATATGTTAAAGGTCTTGCCGGTTTTTGAAGAGAAAATTGTAGTGATAATGGCTGTATATTTAAAAACAACTTTCTTGGCTACGCCCGTCAAATCTTCCAAGTAACTAAATTATATTAAATTTCCTTAAAGATTCAAGATTTGGTTATATTAAATTAAATTCAACTTAATCAACTAGAGAAAATAACCTAGTTCCCCAAAATTCAATAATCCCCAAACAATCACTGAATTTCTTTAACAAGTTTCGATGATGGATAATAACGTGTACGAGAAATCGTTGAAGATTGAAGATTACGTGAAAAGACTTGAAGATGAAATGAAGAAAATTGATGCTTTCAGACGCGAGAAAAGAAATAGAGAAAAGTGTTTACAGTTTTTGAATGCATACAACAAAAATGAGAGAATTTGATAATCCTTTTCTTTTTCAGTCCACACAATTTATAGGAATTAATTCCATATCAAAATATTAATATTTTCCCACAAAATCCGAAATTGCTTTCAAAAATCGCCCGTAGGGCTCACGTCTCGGAACCCGATAAAAGTTACAAAATATGAACGCCCATTCAACCACGAGTCCAACCTTATAAATTTTACCAAATTCCGACATCAACTCGACCCTCAAATCTCCAAATTAAACCAAGAGGGTTTTCTAAATTTTTCAACTTAATTCACCCATTAAATGATGGATTCAAAGACATAATAATGGAAATTAATCAAAATTAGATAAGAATCAAACAAAACCTCATTTCAAAACCTTCGTACACTGCTGATAAAGAAAGAAACACGCAGAAATTTCAGGACCCCTTATCAGATCAACAAATCATGGAGCTCTCTCGCAGCAACTAGAACCATAATCACTTTCTAAGACGAGTTTCAATATTATCCTCCCGAATATACCGTTTCAAACCTGATAGTACTCATTCTAGGTCCAATGACCTTATATTATTAAACACAACTAGCCCACAGACATGCTGCACCAATATAACTCAGAGCCACAAACCGTAACATCCTGTGCCAATATGCAACAATTCAAATGTACTAAGTCATGAGAAATGACTAAAATGAGAGAACTGCCCCGCAATATTAACAAGTACTGCCACAAAGAAATGCTGGAAATTCATCACACACCGTGGAGCCATCACACTATTCTAACACAAGGTATATACCTTTACATAACTTCGCTGCAATGTGTGACCTCATCCAAACGGTGGTCCATATTATATACCTCGAGCCACCCTGTTCAAAATTAATAACCACGGAGAGGCAAATGACACAATGCCATACAAAAACTCGAAAGAATATAACCAATGAATCAGAACTCCTCGTAGCATAGAAGAGTAACTCACGGATCATTTCAGAACATGAATAAGCTCAACAATAACCGAATGGAACATTCTTCGACCATAGCAGTAAGGAGCCACCAATCTGATTCGGTATAAAATACACATCCTGATTGGACCTACCTATGGACCCCTAAATCAACTCTGGTCACCCACCAATAGATAAATAACCCCCCAAAAATCCACATCGACTGAATCATTATACATACTATAACTTGGCTAGCTTCGGCCACGCCTTCACAGTCCACAACCATGAAACAATATGCTCCTGACAACTCCTAGTCTCCAAATCCATAAAACACACGAATCACCACAACTAATCCAATCTCCACCGTCCGAATAACTATCACATCCTTAATGCACGATCATCCCACTTGGAATATTTACATAATTCTTTCGTGCCACATAGCAATAATTTAAATATCAGCAGTCTATCAACCAGGTGAGTACCGCAATGCCAATGACATCCAAACACAATGCGTTTTTTGAAATGCGCACTCTTATCAGGGATTACCGAGCAATTATAACATTCGTCTAAATATCTGAAGTTGACCATGTTGTCCAAAATTCGGGACCTTCCCTTCAAGGCTGAACTGCCACCTCGTATATGAAGATTTTAATCCCGCACCACAACACACCGCATCTATCATGCCATCATGTGACAAGCACACGAATCTCATTATCAATTTTGAGTCACCAACAATTTACATACCCTATTAGTTAGAAACCTTTCTCTTGCTTCTTTCCAGGAGGAAATCAATATGCACAATACGTTCCCTACACCGGTAAAAAATATCCGGTTCAAACCATGGTAGAAGCCATCAAGAACCCTTAGAAATTTATTTGTACATAACCAAGCTATTAGAACTAAATTCCTCTAACTCGACCAAACTATGTAGGTCACCAAAACCCAAGAATATTGCCACCAAAATATCTGTAGAGTCTCACCACTTCATAATTACCCCTATAAATACCACAACCGAAATACCACACTGAAAATACCTTATGTAAATTTAAAATTGTCCCCCCTTACCTTTTTTATACTGAAATGTAGAATCCATAGTCATATAGAATTACCGCAAGTCCCGACACCATCCAATGCAAATAACTGATTCTAGCGATATACGAATCCAAAAAATTTTCAATTGCCACATATACGTTTTTGAATCTATTAGCACCTTCTCGAGAGTCACACACTTTGTTAAAATCTAAATTGCACCGCCCAAATGGACTGAAAGACACGTTCTCCATTAGCACAGTACCACTCAAAGAAGTAACCCTGCCTTAATACCACCGATTAAATTCATACTCTGTGCGCGCTACATCCTTCAGAAATAACAGCTCACTCATCCCATGATTTTCCTATACTCCTAAAGTTCCATAACTCGTATCCATAAATTTTCTTACTCGAGTCATTATCAAACTCCACCCCTGCAAGTCATCACTGATTTCCAAGTATACCTCAGACCAAAACAAAACTTTTGACATATAACCATGAATTAAATCGTCAATAGTAGACTCCCCCGCTTGGCTCAAAGCCATAAATTTAAACACTCGATAACTCACAATATCCATACTCTATTACTGTCATAATACAGTAGTCAGTTCAACGAAAAATTCTTCTCAAGCTCATACAACGCCAACCATAAAAATACCTCAATTATTCGCTAAGCTCATATTCATTCTCTTGACACTAAAGTCAACTTTCTCAACCAGATTCAAATTCAAATCCCAACACATATGCCCCATCGGCAGAAAAGAAACTCTCTACTCACATCATAAGGAATACACCTACGTAGATTACTCTGCAGGGGATAACCCACCTGCTTAATATTAAATCGGTATCTTTCTAAACCCTTTCGCAGTTACAATTACTATGAAATCACTTAGTCATTTAACAACATGAGAGATCCTTCAAAACATTAATACTCAAGACTGTACGTCATATCAAAATGAAAATCAAGCACCCAATGGCCTTTCCTTTACATTACCAGGAAACACTTATCGTCACATTCAAACAATCTGAACACATCGCACAGTCCCATCACACTCGCCACATAGTCATTCCACCGCTCATCGAGCCACAAATTCCACTCGTAGGGACATTACCGGACATATGAGTCCAATTATACAAGTTACCACTGAAGCTACCGAGCTCAAGCTGTGGTCTAACCATGGCCTCAAGTCCTCCGGACTGGCTTTTCACTAAAACACAAAATACACATCTCGAACCTCATTCATAGAATCATAAGCCACCGGCACACAACCGATACCGAGCGCTCACATGTGCGTGAAAGGAATTCAAAGAGTTATGCTTCAAGCTGAATCAATGCCGCACGATTAGGAAAGAAAGATGGGAAGTATATATCCTAAATTCCATATAGCCTCTCGAAGATAAGTATGGACGTTATCATACCGATCCTCAAGACTATACTAGACACTTTCTCATAACTTGTAGAACCTATGAACCAAGAGCTCTGATACCACCTTGTCACGACCCAAAATCCAACTAGTCGTGATAACACCTAACCCAACCCGCTAGGTAAGCCAATTATCAACTATCCAATTCCAATAACAATTATTATAACAATTTAAGTAAAGAAAAATCTTAATCTTATACATTCCCCAAGAACTGGTAGTACAAATCATGAGCTTCTAAGAATAGAGTATATAAAACTGGTATGAAATAATACATCATCCGTTCGAAATATACATGGACAAATTTTTATAAATCTAAGACTACCATGAACAAGAGGCAGCTACAACCGGAACGTAGGTACATCTTCAGATCTAACTCCCAACGAACACAGTGACATCTGCAGTCAACATCTGCACATAAGGTTCAGAAGTGTAGTATGAGTACAAGTGTACAACCAACCCAATGTACTAAATAAGTAACAAACCTAATCTTAGGTTGAAAGTAGTGACGAGCTTGTACCAAGGTCGGGTCCCAACTTCAATAACCAATAATAGTTCATAACAACATAAAACAAGTAATACCAGAAGTAACTCAACAATGAAATGCTCAACAAAAACATGATTTCTGAAAATAGTTCTGCCTTTCAATTACATCAATAAAAACCC